AGAAATGTGGCAAATCCTTTGTGTTTTTGGACCCTGGCCCCGCCGATTTGCTTGAGGGGCGCAACCGAATTTCAAAAATGTTGCACATCCCCTGTGTTTTTGGACCCTGGCCCCGCCGATCTGCGTGAGGGGTGCCACCGGATTTCAGAGATGTTGCAAATGCTATTGTTTTAATTGACCTTGCACTGCGGATCTGCGTGAGGGGTGCCACCGAATTTGAGAAATGTGGCACATCCGTTTTGTTTTTGGACCCTGACCCCGCCGATCTGCGTGAGGGGTGCCACTGAAGTTCGAAAATGTGGCAAATCCTTTGTGTTTTTGGACCCTGACACCGCCGATTTGCGTGAGGGGTGCCACCGAATTTGAGAAATGTGACACATCCTCTTTGTGTTTTTGGACCCTGACCCCGCCGATCTGCGTGAGGGGTGCCACCGAATTTGAGAAATGTGGCACATCCGTTTTGTTTTTGGACCCTGACCCCGCCGATCTGCGTGAGGGGCGCCACTGAAGTTCAAAAATGTAACACATCCCTCGTGTTTTTGGACCCTGACCCCGCCGATCTGCGTGAGGGGTGCTACTGAAGTTAGAAAATGTAACACATCCCTTGTGTTTTTGGACCCTGACCCCGCCGATCTGCATGAGGGGTGATACCAAATTTCAGAAATGTGGCAAATCCTTTTGTGTGTTTTGGACCCTGACACCGCCGATCTGCGTGAGGGGGGGCCACCGAATTTGAGAAATGTGACACATCCTCTTTGTGTTTTTGGACCCTGACACCGCCGATTTGCGTGAGGGGTGCCACCGAATTTGAGAAATGTGGCACATCCGTTTTGTTTTTGTACCCTGACCCCGCCGATTTGCGTGAGGGGTGCCACTGAAGTTCAAAAAATGTAGTAAATCCTTTGTGCTTTTGGACCCTGACCCTGCGGATCTGCGTGAGGGGTGTCAGTTTTTACCCTCCCAGAAATTCTGGGAACCCTCCCAGGGCGTGGTAGTTCTGCTGGTTTGGGCTCCCCCCCCCTCGCGCGTTCGTCAACAAGGAACAGTAAGCAGCAAAAAGCAGAAATGTAACACTGGAAACTGGAAGCTGCAACTGGCACAGGGAGCAGCACATTCCCGGCCTACAGCCTGGTGGCCCCGCAAGTGGGCCGGCGGATTATTCTTATTATTCGTTTTATCATTATTGTTATTATTAGTAGTAGTAGTGGAGGTATCGCTCGTCTTATTCTCATTATTGTCATCAGTATTATTGTCGGTAGTATACTTAATCGTGTTAGTCTTCTTATTCTTAGGATGAGCATTGTTCTTATAAATATGTATTATATGCATTCTCAGTATGATTAGCAATACTCTTCGTATCTATGTATTATCTCCCTTATTCGTATTATTGCTCTGTTTCATCATCAGCATCAGCATCATCAGCATCATCACCATCAGCAGCAGCATCAGCACCATTATCAGCATCATCAGCAGCAGCATCATCAGCATCAGCACCATCATCAGCATCATCATCAGCATCATCATCATCGTGATCATCATCATCGTCATCGTCATCATCATCATCATCATCATCATCATCATCATCATCATCATCATCATTCGAATCATCAGCATCAGCATGGGCACCATCAGCATTATCAGCATCGTCATCATGTTCATCAACATCAGCATCAGCATCATCATCATCATCATCATCATCATCTTCATCTTCATCTTCATCTTCATCAGCATCATCATCGTCGTCATTAACATCAGCAGTAGCATCAGCATCATTCTCATCAGCAGCAGCATCATCAACATAGCATCATCACTATACCATCATCCGCAGCATCATCATCGTCATCATAATCTGCAACATCAGCATCATCAGTATCATCATCAGCATCATCAGCATCATCATCAGCAGCAGCATCATCACTCCTCTCCGTCTTCCTCGCTTCTTATTATCATTGTTCTTCTGATTAGTGTGACTATTATTCTCGTGCGGACAGTTTTGTTTCCGTCGACCCGCCTGCTCACATCAGGCAATTCAGCCATGATGGGGGGGCTATTCTGGAAGTGGGCCACAAGCACGTCGAACATCAGAACATGCCAACGGGGCGCGAGAGCGCCGCGGCGGCGGCCCGCACCCCAAGCTGTGGATCGAGGAAGAGCAAGCATGTATCGAATGGCTTTCGGCCTATCCCGCCACCGTGCCTGGGTTGTGGGTCATAGGCCTTTGGGATGCTCGTTGGGATGTCGCGGGAGGCCTCTCGGGGGGCCTTTTGGGGGCCGTTTTGATGCCTCGTGGTGGCCGTTTGGGGGCCTCTTAGGGGCGTCTTCGGGTCTCTTGGGGGTCTCTTGGGGCCTCGTGGGGCCTCTTGGGGCCTCCTGGGGGCCTTTTGGGCGGAAGACGCGGATTTTCGGTTCGTGTTCCCCCTCTTCCGCCCTTCTTGGGGCTGTCTTTGGGCCGTCTTGAGCGCCTCTGGGGCCGCCCTCTTGGGCCGTGTTGGGGCCCCGGAGGCCTCTTGGGCCGTCTTGGTGCGGTCCTTGGTGGAAATCCTTGAAAAACCGATGGGACATCAATGATTTTGCCCCCATCGGGGCCTTTTTGGAAAGGTTCTTTGGGCTCTCTTGTGGCGTCTCGGAGGCCTCTTAGGAGCATCTTGGGCGTCTTCGTGCGATGTTCGGGCGACTCGGGGCCCGCTTAGACCGTCTGGGGCAACTCTCGGGGCCCTCTTGGCCAGTGTTGGGGCCCTCTTGGGCCCGAAACGGTCATGCGGCAAGCCCCGAGAAGACGCGGAAAGAAAGGCCCAGGAGAGTTGTGAAGTTGGGGTCCGGGCCCCTCAATGACTCCTCAGGAGTGAGGACTGAGGACACGCCCACTCCGTGCCCAGCGGCA